GCGCAGGCGGTGCCCGGGGATGCGGTTCGTGCTGCTGGCTTGGTCCGTGAGCTCCTCCATCTTCCCGCTTGGGCTAGAAAAAATGGGGATAACGGGATAACGGTGCTTTGCTGGAGGTGCTCATATGGGTTTTAATCGTTTTCTGCACCGGGTTTTTTAGGCGCGTGTGTTTATTGTAGAGGCTGCTTTCATTCGGGGCCTCCTTGCTACTGGTGATACAAATTATCATATCTATTATGTATAATAGATATATAATAATATATGCAATAACACAATATAATTTTATATATGATTACATGCTATTTGTTAATTTATTGTTTATATGTATATTACATATAATTATTTGTTGTTTATTTTATAGATTTTTTTGTTATTTATTTGTTATTTATTGTTCTGTAATTATTGCTGCTTTTTAAGTTATACTGGCCTTTCTAGTGTCAATCCCTTTTGTCACATCAGAATTCTCCCTTCTTTATCTGCTCTGAATCTGGACCTGTAGCAGCAGAGCTGTGAATGGAAATATCTGCTCAGAGCAGTTAATCCCATCCCTATTTCATCTCTCCATGTTCCCAAAGCCCATTAAAACATAATGGTTTTGTTTACCCAGCCTCCAGTCATGCCTGGGAATGCTCCAACAGGCCAAACAGGAAGGTTGGGCTTTGCAGCTCTGACTCCTCATCCTGTGAAGTCCCCCTGGTGCTCCCCAGGCCTGGGAGTGAGGCCAGAGCTGGGCAGCAGGTACCAGCTGCTTTGGCTGTTGCACAACTGGAAACTCCTGCATCCCAAAGCCTGACTCAGCTTCTGCTGCCCTGACTGCTCGGGAGCAGTGAGACACACATTTCTTGGGAAGGCATTAGATGAATGAGGTGTAGAATAGAGTAATGTGTATTTGGAGGGTTTTAGCAACATCCACAAGTGTTTATGTGCTGTAATTTTGTCCTGGCAATTTGTCTTTTGCTTGTTTGAGAGATCGTTGGACAGTGTATGTGAGGGAAAATGTGTAAAGGAAATACTGCTGAAAAAAGAAATCTTTTTGGACATATATTCTTGTTCTTTTGCATCCAAAAGATGTGGGGGTTTTGGTGCCAGTAAGGATGAAATGAAGCCTGCAGTGAGGAGAATAAAGTGGTTTTCACACAGAGAAAATGTGCCAGGAGCAAGCAGCCCCATCAAGAAGCTGCTCTGCACACTCAGGATTACGGAGCAAAGCTGTGGTGGGTTGTGCTGACACTGGCACAGGCTCCATCTCCTGCTCACTGTGTCCTTCTGTCCTGTGTCCTGCTCTTCCCAGGACAGGATGCTGTTCCCGCTGCCCCTGCGCGCAGCCTGCAGCCTGCTGGCCTGGTTCTGCCTCTACAAATGGTTCTGCCACCGCTACCGGCACCGGAGCCTCGAGTGGAGCTGCAGGCTGGTCACGCTGACCCACGGCATCCTGGCCACCTGCCTGTCTGCTTACATCGGCTTCATCGACGGCCCCTGGCCCCTGAGCCACCCAGGTCAGTGGGGAAATCCGTGCTCCCACCTCCCCCAGGGCTCCTCGCAGTCCCCAGCCCCACTGAGGGATGATGCCCGCAGTGATATCTCAGTCACTTTGTGGTGGAAAGCCCCAGAGGAACGGAGAGCCTGGTACTGTTTTGCTGCTGTAATGCCCCTCCCCAGCTGCAGTTTGGCAGAGCGTGTGACCCTGTGTGTGCAGCTGTCCATTACGGACCAACAGCTGTGGCATCGTGACTCGGGGGGACTTCCGTGGCCAGGCTGTCACCAGTATGAGCCGGGGTGAACACCCCTGCCCTGTCTCACATCCTGTTGCCTCCACGCTTTAAAGCTCTCTTTTTACCTTTCAGGGACACCCAACACGACCCTTCAGGTGCACGGGCTGTGCCTTAGCTTGGGCTACTTCATCTTCGACCTGTGTTGGTGCGTGTACTTCCAGACGGAGGGTGCCCTGATGCTGGCCCACCACCTGGTGAGCATCGTGGGCATCGCCGCCTCCTTGGCCCTGGGCGAGTCGGCCGCCGACGTCAACGCCGTCATCTTCGGCAGCGAGATCACCAACCCGCTGCTGCAGGCCCGCTGGTTCCTCAAGGAGCTGGGCCGCTACCACACCTTCACGGGCGACGTGGTGGATTTCCTCTTCGTGGTGCTCTTCACCGGCGTGCGCATCGGCGTGGGGGCCTGGCTGATGTACTGCGAGCTGGCCTCGCCCAGGCCCCGCTGGTACATCAAGCTGGGAGGGGTGGTCATGTACGTGGTGTCCTGGGTGTTCATGGTCAGCATCTGCCGCTTCGCCCGCAGGAAGAGCATGAGGAAGTACCAGGCCTGGAGGAGCCGCAGGAGCCGCGAGCTGGGCTTGAAAACCAACGGGCACCTCAAAAGCCACTGAGAGGATGGCGAGCAAAGAGTTCCTCGAGTTCGCGGGCTGGCGAGGAGGGGGATGGTGCCTGAAATGCCACTGTCGGGAGAGGAGCCAACGCACGTTAGCAGCTCCGGAGCCAAATTTATCCCTGGCCTAACTCCACTGAAATCCATGGAGCTATGCCATGGATTGCCTGGGTCTGCAGAGCTCGGCCTGGCAGAGCTGGCGCAGCACAGCCTGAACGAGGAGGGAAAGAAGGGCTAATTTTATAGACTAAGCATGACTAGTCCAGCAGTGCAGGTGTAAATAGTGATGTCTGTAGCCAACTCCTTCAGGATCTCAGAAGAGAGGAGGAGGTAACACTAGGTCTCCGTGTCCAGTGTCCTGTGCAGCCTAGGCAGCTAGGGCGACTCTTCATGCTGGTAGGAAGAAGTGTCCTAGTGTTGCATCCGAGCTGGGATTCCTGGCTCTTCCACCACCTCGTTGTGTGACCTTGGGCAAGTCACACGACTCAAACTCTGTGCCTAATTCCCCCTCTGTGACTTGGGGGAGATGGAGCTGCTCCATCTGTTACGCACTTTCAGATTTTTACTTGAGAGGTGCTATGTAAATGCAAGGTGATGGTTGTTATCTGCACTTGGTTCATCACCCCTGTGTTTCCCTTAGGAGAAACAACTTTGGTGGTCGAGCTAGAGTGAGACTCTAGAAAAAATCAGTATTTTAGGTAGGTTGTTGTTTCCTACCCTTTCTAACTCCTTTTAATAACTTATTCAGTACCATATTGATAACTTATTTTCTGTAGTGTCCAGAAGCTCTAATCAGCACTGGCGCCATACAGGACTAGGTGCTCTGTGAATACACCCAAACACACAGACCCAGAAGGGAAAATTTTTCCTGATTTTCCCCTCTTCTTCCCTGACTGTTAAAACTCCCCTACAAACACTGCTTTTATCTCCTTGGGTAACCAGCACACTCCACTTTGAGAAGCCCCATCAGGATTTGCCACTCAGGGGTTTTCTTGCTGATGAGCTAAGCTCTGATTTTGTCTCCAGAACACCAAAATTCCCTCTGTCGTGCCCAAAGTCCAAACTGGGATTTTGGAATCTGCCCTGTGGAATCAGCCCTGTGGAAGCCACAGGCTGACCTTGGCTCTCCTTCATCTGAACTGATGCCTTGACCCCTGGGCTTTGATTTCCCTCTGACTGGCTCTGAGTCACTTTATAAAAGTGAGCATTTAGAGGGTCAGAGAGATTTATTTTACAGCTTAGTAAGTAAAGAACTGAGAGGCCCAGAATCTGGTCTTTTTAAAGCAAAAATAAACCTGACTGGGAGAAAAGTAAGCATTACTTATCCAGTCCCATTTGTAGGGAAAAGCCATGCCCAGTTGGGAGCTTCTGGAGTTTATTTCATTGCATGTCCTTAAGCTGTTCCTTTGCTGTTGCTGCAATTTTGAGCATTTCCTTTGAGCCTCCAGTGCAGCTCAGGTGCCCCCTTTTGCTTGAACCTTGCCTGCTGCAGCCAAAGACCTGAAGAAGCCCCAGAAAACCCCTTCAGATGAGCAGAGCCAACTGATGAGCTGGTCCTGGAGAGGAGACTTGACTCATCCAGAACTACCAAGCCTTGAAAGGAGACCAGAAGGGCTGGTTGGGGCTTGCTGGTTCTTTTTCCCAGCTCTGCTGCTCTGTTGAGCACATCCAGGAGCCTTTTTGCCTCACCCTAACCCACTTTGGGAAGTGGGTCCAGGCTTACCTACCTCATAGGCTGTTTCCATTTAGCACCAAGCCACATTTGATGGATTCTCAGTGGTTTGTGTCAGGCTGTGCTGTAAAAAAACTTGCTTTGAGTGAAGCACTTCTGCTATGAGCCATCAGCAGTGCTTTGTCACCTGAGCTGGGCACTTCCCAGTGTCCCAAAAACAGGAGTGAGGTGTTTTGCTGAACAGCAGGAGTCACAGGGAGTGAGCTGGACATGCACAGAAAGGTCAGCTGTGCTGCTGCCTCCTCACAGGGAGCCCCAAGCTGAGCAAAAGTTGTCTGCTGGGTTTTCCCTGGTCAGCGTTGCAGGAATCTCAGCCAAAAAAGGGTTTCAGGCACTGGCCTGAGCAGGGAATTAGGGATTTCAGCAGCAGCTCCTGCAGAAATGGTGAAGACAGGTCCTGGAGGTGACAAGAGGCTGGTCCTTCCTGGTGAGCTGCTGAGCTGCCCACCACGAAGAGTTTCCAGAGCAGCCCTGGTGGTTTGGAAAGGTCAGCAGCCCTGACCTTTGCTGAGGGTTGGGGTGCAGCTTCATGGGGTTCCAGCCCTTACCTGCCCAGGTGGATGAGGCTGGCAGTGACTGCAGTATCTGTGAATCACCTGTTTGGAGATATTTTGGAATACGATGGTTTGAGTGGTCCCATTTTCTGAACAGGGGGGGAAAATTGGTTGGAAGAAGGAGAGCACTGCTCATCTCTGAGGCTCTAGAAAGTAAAGAAAACAAAAGGGCATTTAGAAATGGCTTTATGAGGCAGAGCAAGGCCTCATGGCCCATTTAGTGGGCTCCAGCATAGAACCACAGACTCAAAAGTACAAATTCCAAGCTGTGGAGCACAGGGTGGGACCTGTCCTCAGGCTAGTCCATAGTGGCTAGAGCAAACTCTGAGAGGAAACTGCAGAACTAGTGTGAAATAATAACTTGTGTCTGAATTACTGTGTAATAGCAACTAATGTTCCACCAGTGAATGGTGTAGATGCTTTGTATGAAGTTTTATAAAAATAAAGATTATTTAATTATATGAGGAATTAGGTTTCTCTGTTTGGGTGCTGCTCTTAAGTCACAGGTTGCACTTGATGGTTCTGGAGGGCTTTTCCAACCTCAAAGATTCAGTGGTTCAGTAGGATGGAGCAAAAATGTTCCCTTTGTTTTCCATGCCCTGGATGCCACGGGAGAAGGCTCTCCTGTGTTTCCACTCCGTGAGCTCTTCTCAACCATAAATCAACATTATTACCTATCAAAAATCAATATTATTGCCTATCAAAAATCAATATTATTGCCTATCATGAATCAGTATTATTGCCTAGGAAAGGCCTGTGTTGGTAAGCAGCCACTCTGCTTGCTGATGGCCACAGCCAGAGATCCAGCACGCCAAAAGTCTTGGCTTCTATAAATAGTTAAGCCAATTTAGTTGTTTGCATGTAACCCTTAAGTCCAGCTTAAAACCCTCCAGCCCTGGGAGCAGCACTGAGCCCTCTGGAGGTGTTTTTTTGTGTTTACAGAGCCCAGCCTGGGGGTGCAGGGGTCTCGGAGCCTGCAAGAATTTGTGCTGGGACTTTGCTGAACCTCGGAGGTAGTTCCAGAAGCAGAGAAGAAAGGACAGCAGAGTTCTGGAGCTTTGCTTTAGAGCTGCAAGTGTCTCCCAGGTCTTGTGTCTTCAGAAGTAACAAAATCGGGCATTGCTTTGAAGTGCTTTGTCTGTGGGAAGTGAAATCTGCCCCTCTACACCCAATTAATTTCATTTTTTATCATCCTATTATTCCTTTACAGGCAACCCTGCTGCCTGCCTTTTGCTTCTCCTGCTGGCCCTGCAGTTGAGCTTTGTAAAATTAACCTCTTCTTTCCATCCTCTGCCCTTTCTAGCTAAACTTATTTGTACTAGAGAAAAATTGCAATATGTTGAAATTCACAACTTTATTCCCTTGCAGCAGTAGTCCAGGCGCTGATGTAAAAGCAGCATTTTAAGTCTTTGAAATCTGCTATTACATTAATTCCATGGGTTTTGCTATATCCAAAAAAATCAATGCCCTATTTGCCTCAAATTCCAGGGGCACTTTGGCAGCTGATAAGTCAACAATGTAAAAGATCCTTAGAAAAATACTAAAGGAAGGAATCTAACAGATCAAGGTACATGGAAAAGTGTCTGTAAAGTAATAAAGGTTTACAGGTAGATAATTTTGTATGGGAAGAAGGAAGTTTCAGCTTCTGCAGCTTCTCAAATGTTACAAACCACAGATTTTCAGCAGAGTTGTGCTGTTTGAATTGTGCTTTGTGTCAGGAGATTGAGATCTCTCCAGTGCCACAATCCTCAAACGTGAAAAGAAATGATATTCTCCATTTCTTTAGATGTTACCTCTTTCTTTTTAATCCCCCGTCCTGCCAGAGGATGGAGAAAGAGAAGGAAACTCAGGGCACGATGTCCAGCAGATTCATCTGCCCTTGCTGCTTTCATGATGCTGATGTGGAACAAAAGCTCAGGGCTCTAAAAATGCTGACTGCCCGTGGATTATCCAGGTTTAGGAACTGTAATAAGCTGTCACTGTAGAAGCTCTGCTAGATTAGGATCTGTGTCTCAAAATCAGCAAAACCCTGTGTCCCAATACCAACTCTGGGGAATTTTCAGCATTTCCAAAACTGCAGGACAAGCTGTAGGGAGAAAATCTGGTGCCTGTTTTAAGGTGGGAGATGAAAAAAGGTTTGGAAATAGTGCAGGAATGTGGAACACAGCACCAATGTAATTGTGTTTTCTGGGGTTAAGTCCTCTGCTCCATAGGCACATTTGGGAAATGAACTTGGGAATCATTTCCCCTGTGCTTTTCCCCTCCAAGGTGTAAAGGTTTGGCAGCTGGCTTCCAAAAGCAGCAGAAAAACAGGAGCTGGCTGAGCAATTTGTACTGAGTGTAAAGAACTGTTCAAAATACCTGAACATTCTCTCACTGGCTTGAAATTGATGATTTGTAAGGAGCAAAAGAATCTTTATTTTTGTGGTGGAGCTCAGCGAAACTCAGCCGATTATCCCATCTGAAACACAAATTGAAATTTTTTTCTGAAAGAAAAATGCATCCAGGCACTGTTTATCCACACTTAAAACCTTAAAGCATCACTTTTTGCTGATTTTCCTCGCTGTTTATGCTGAGCTGACAGCGGTGCAAACCCCCCTCGGAGCTCCACGATCCCAAAGCGCTTGGAAATGCTTTTTTTTTTTCCCAAATTCCTGAGTTTTTACCTGCCTGGCAGCTCAGGTTAGAGGAGCCATTCGAGGCTTTCCCAGCAGATGGCAACAGCTCCTCGGTGCGAGCCTGGGAAAGGGGATTTGGCCAAAGAATCCTCACACTTTATAAATTTATTTTTACAGGAGCCCCTCTAAAGCACCTCCAAGGATCTAACCGTTATTTTAAGGCAAAATAAGAATGGAATTGTACTCCTTAGGAATGAAACTCCTCAATTTTAGGGTCCTGCTTAGCTCTGCTATGGACTAAAAAAACAGATGGAGGAGGTTAATTAGAGAATCACAAAATGGTTTTGTGTTGGAAGAGACCTCAAAGGTCATCTTGCTCCAACCCTCCTGCCATGGGATGGTTCTGTGTGTAAATTCAGATCAAGTGACAGCTTCAGAGCACAAAAAAAAAAAAAAAAAATGTAATGGGCACACTGTAATTGCTTATTGATTTCCCTACTCCATATTTCAGGCTGTAAAACTGAATTATCATAAATGGACATCTATCTTAATCTAAGTATGTAACCAACTCCCTCCAAAAAAAAAAAAAAAAATCAGCATTTGCAGAGAAGAGAAGTAGAAAATCTATGTCTTAGGATTTCCTCCAGCTAATTGTTCTCGTTATGTTGTCATGCACAATAAAATATAATTAAAGTAATAAAAAAGCATTGAGGCCTAATATGCAAATGCTGGGCCTGCCAGGAATCAGATCTCCCAGGATCTTTCCCCTCTCCAGGCACAGTACTCGATGTTCCCAAAGTTAAAAGCAGGGAGGGATTTATTGCAGAGAAGATGCAATAAAGAGATATATAATAAATAAATATAGATATATGGAGGCATTCAGTCACTTCATCAGCACTGATGACTCTATTGCACACAGCTGCAGAAGGAGAGGCAGACGTGGCCGCTTGTCTCACACTCCCACACTTTATTTATTTATTTTTCCCCCCACCAAGCCTCCGTTTTCCCCAAAAGGAAACCAAAAAAGGAAGTATAAATGTCCTGCGCATATATGTGAAATATCATGTAGAAAATGATTTCATCCCACGCTTCCCCTCTTTGCTCTGAACTCCATCAAAACAACAAATTCTTCGGGCGCTCAGACTTCAGGCTGCCGGCTTCCTGATGCGCGCGGCGAGCAGGACACAGCTCCGTGTTCCAGAGGTACGGTCCCGTGTGCCCAGCCAAAACCTTTCTTTTCCAGCCTCTTTCCAAGTCCAGTGTCCCAGCTTTGAAGTCTATCCCGGCAAGATTAATTAAAGGGAAGAAGCGTGGTGTCCTAGATGATTGGGATTAGCTAATAAGGTTATTTTAGTCTGCTGGCATTTTGCTGGAGGAGGCTGATGTTCTGTAAGTTCCTTTGTGCAGAGGGGCAGGAATTACTGGCAGGGGAGATATCCTGCTTTTCATTCCACATCTGTGCTGCTCACAAGCTTTCATTTCTGGAGGAGTAGCGTGGAAGTTTCCTGAAGTCCTCAGGTGTAGATGTTATTTCCAGGTGTTTGAGAACAAGTGGCTTGTAGTGCCAGGACACAAGGGGGAACGGCTTCACACTGACGGAGAGTAGCTTTAGGTGGGATATGAGGAAAAAATAATTCCTTGTAGGGGTGGTGAGGTTGCCCAGAGAAGCTGTGGTGGATCCTTGGAAGTGTTCGAAGCCAGGTTGGAGGAACCTGGGATAGTGGAAGAAGAACCGTGGCAGGGGGTTGGAACAAAATAATCTTTAAGATCCCTTCCAGCCCAAACCATTCTGGGATTCTGTGCAGACTTGAAACAGGAATTTCTCTCTCAGACCGTGTACATGAACAGCAGGGAGTTACAGCAAGGACATGTTTGTGTTCAGCCTGTGGCCGAGAGAAGGAAATCCTCACCTGCTAAAATTTAAATGCCCCAACACCCCGCGTGGCTCATCTTTTGGCACTGGAAGTTTTGAAGGGGAGCAGGAACAGGCCCTTGGCCGCAGTGTTTCTGGAATGTACGTGCAGGGAGGGATCAGTTCTTGGATTTATGCTGCCCTTAACCTCCAAGAAAAAATTCCCTTTGAAACTTGCGTGGGAAATGCGGGGAACGCGGGATGGGACAACGAAAGGCCTGGGAGTGAGCAGCACAGCCCGAGGCTCCGCGCTGCACAGCTCCTGGCACTTCTACTCTTTTAATTTGCTGCTTATTTATTTTCTTTCTGCTCCAAGTTTCGCCGGTGTCATATTTTCCATGGAGATGGAGGCGCGGGCGCTCCCTGCCCTGAGCGCTGGTGACACGGCAAAGTGTCGGATAGCAGGGGATGGGGAAAAAAAATAGGGAAAAAAGGGAAAAAGGGATAGAAGGAAAAGGGAAACCTCCTCGGGCTAGGGATGCAGGGGGATGGGGGAAAACGGAAAAAGGGAAAAAGGGGTAGAGGGAAAAGGGAAACCTCCTCGGGTTAGGGACGCAGGGGGATGGAATACTGTTGGGCAGGGGATGGGGAAATATGGAAAAATGGAAAAAGGGATAGAGGGAAAAGGGAAACCTCCTCGGGTTAGGGATGCAGGGGGATGGGGGAAAATGGAAAAAGGGAAAAAGGGGTAGAAGGAAAAGGGAAACCTCCTCGGGTTAGGGACGCAGGGGGATGAAAAGCTATTGGGCACGGGATGGGGAAAAAAAGGGATAAAAGGGAAAAAGGGGTAGAAGGAAAAGGGAAACTTCCTCGGGTTAGGGACGCAGGGGGATGGAAAGCTGGGACACAGGGAGAGGGAGAAGCGGCCGCCACCGAGCGGAGACGAAAGGAAACAGCCCGCGGGTCTGGAAAACGCTTCCCGAAGGGAAAAGGCCTGGGCAGGGACCGGGA